ACTCACAGCAGCCTGCATCTGCAGCTCCAGAGCTTCAACCCCCTCTCCTGGTCCCCGTGAGCGCACACACACACACACACACACACACACACACACACACGAAATGGTTTCTTTGAAAGGACAATGTGGAGGGCTCACAGGAACTTGCAAGTATGGCCACAAAGCAGATTTTATGTTAGATACAAAAGAGTATGGCCAAATCACCATTCCTATAGACAGAACCAAAGCTGAACTCTTGTCTCTGGGCTCCTAATGCCCAGAGGAGGTCTCCGGACCTCCCTCCTTGCCTAGCTGATACCTGCCTTTAGTCTCCTGTAGCTCATCCTCAAAGATTTGAGCATTGCTGATTGACAACTGGTGTGTTTTCATCCTTACCCAGAGAAGTTTCTCATCAGAACTAAAGGGTTGTGGTTTGGACTTGGTGGGAGGATCTGGGATGAGTTGGGAGAAAGGGAAAAAAAATACCTCATCAAAATATATTGCATGAAACTTTTTTTAATTTAAAAAAAAAAGGTGAAGTAGAATAGAGGACTTGGGACCGTACTACCAATGTTCACTATGTCTTGGCTCCAGTCCAGAAATGGAGTCATGGGGCTCACAGGCTTCTAATTTATATAAGTGTTGCCTTGAGGGGGCCTCAAAATAAATCCAAGAAAAAAGTGACCATGTACTGGGTCCTAACATCTGGGGCCTTAAAGGCTTTGCACCTTTTCCCTCAACACTCACAGCTGGCTGGCTTATTAAAAACGTAGTATTGTAATTGGCCCTTCCTGACCAATGGAGAGGAGACCAGCTCAAACTACCTAAGGGGAGGTGGGGGATATATCCTTTGAACAACTGAACAGTCCAGGGTAGGCAGTGGCTCTGGGACTCGGGAAGACATACCAGAGATGAGTGCGGCTGTCTTGCCCCTCGGCCCTGTTTCATGTGTGGGCTTCCCTCACAGGTGGGGCACATTCATCTCCTCATTCTGACCTGTGTAGCATCCTGACGGGCTGGAGGTTTCGCTCTAGTGGCTTAGTCGCCTGCAAAATGAAACTCCTCCTCCTCCTCCACCTCACGTCTGAGTCCCAGTGGGAGGCTCGGGGTTGTCTCTCACTGGCCCTGTACGGGACCTAACTCCTCCTGTCCCTCTAAAGGTGTGAGTGCACATGTGCTGGAGTGATTGGATCATGGAGAGATGGCGTTCAAAACCGTGGGCATGCGCGCATACGCAGGAGCTACGCAAAATGCAAAGATGCAGGAGGCAAGAGGGCTGAAGCTTACACTCTTCGATGAACAGGGCGTAGGCAGTAGAGTTCTCTAAGCAATCTCACGGGGGTAACAAATAAACTTTAGGAGAGACAGTGAACCCAGAGATCAGACTTTGGGTGTGATGTTGGGTTTTCGGTCTCCTCTGAGATGGGAGTGTTATTTTCCTGAGTGGCAAAATGTTACTAAAAAGCTTAGTGATGATCGTGGGTCTCCTTGATGGATGGGGGCCACAGTCCACATGGGAACTCCAGGGACATTCCCATCCTCTGCTTCAGGAGGGAAAGGAGAGCAAGAGCAGCAGGGTGGGGGATGGGAACAGGTCAGCCTGGACCAACATGAGGAAGCACAATACGTAAAACTGTGAGTCAGAGGCAGGCTGATCTCTTAAGTTTGAGGCCAGCCTGATCTACAAAGCGAGTCCCAGGACATCCAGCGCTACAGAGAGAAACTGTCTTAAAAAAAAAAAAAAAAAAAACAAAACAGACTGTGAGTTTGCTGAGGTCTCCCAAGGAGCCTCATACTGGTCTTTGTGACTCTGATTGCCCAGACCCGGCAAGAGCTCAGATAGGGTCTGCCATCTCTAGGCAGACAATGAGCACCTGGGCATTCAGAGGTCCCAAGGTTCAGACAGCCCGGGGGGTAACGAGGGACCGGTAAGTTTCACGCTGCTCAATGATTCCATCATCTGCAGATTGCCTTCAGCATCCTCTGGAACGGTGGTCCTCAACCTTCCTAATGCTGGGACCCTTTACTATAGTTCCTCCTGTGGTGGTGACCCCCAGCCATCAAATTATTTCGTTGCTACTTCATAACCGTAATTTTGCTACTGCTCTGAATCATAATCTAAATATTTTTGGAGATTGAGGTTTGTCAAGGAGGTCACAGCCCACAGGTTGAGAACCTCTGGTCTAGAGGGAGTCTGCCCACTCAGCACGTGCAAGGTCCTGGGTATTTTACAGAAGGGAAGCTAAGTACTAGGAGAAACCCCCTTGCCCTTCCCCATGAACTGTGGTCCCAAGACCGACAACATCAGTGCAATTGGATGGAACCTTCAGGATTTCGGGTCCCACCCCAGACCCCGAAGATGTAGCTCAGACACCGAAATCTAAATTTTTACGTCTTTATTAGCATATGTTAATCACACATAATAGTTTTCATTGTGACATTTTCAAGCATGTATATAACGTATTTTAATCATATTCATAACCCCATTTTCTTCTCTTGTCTCCTTCCCACTCTCATGGAGCACCTTCCTCTTCCTTGTCAACTAATCCCCCTTCTAATTTAACAGTTCTTTTGTTGTTTATGTGATACAATGAGTTTCCTTGGAGTTACTGACAGGAGCATAGCCCTAACCCTAAACCTGAAACCCCAAATCCTAATAAGGGTGTTTTTTTACATACTTATCCATTTTTACTCACTCATATTATGTGCATTGGTGTTTTGCTCGCCTATATGTCTAGACACCACATATGTGAGTTACGGACAGTTGGGAGCCACCATGTGGGTTTTGAGAATCAAACCTGGCTTCTCTGGAAGAGCAGTAGGTGCTCTTAACCGCCAAGCCATCTCTCCAGCCACTAAAGCTGAGGAGTTTTTCCACAGGAGCATGAGCACTCTCCCAGTGACTACACTGCTATAGAAAATGTTTCTCCCTCTCTCGGCAACCTATCGATCACCAGGGAGGAGTGGAGTCCCATAAACCCTTCCTTCCTCACAGCCATTAACTGCATACACATCCTCAAGGAGGGTGAGCCCCATGGCCCCTCCTACCCATCTAGACAGAATGGTGATGGGCCCAGTCAGGCTTGTGCGGGTCTTATACAAGTAATCACAGCTGCTTTGAAGCCAAGAATGCATCAGCCGTATCTTGTCTGGAAGTCAGCCTTCCACACCACTCCCCCCAACTCCCTCCAGTTCTTAGGAATTTTCTGCCCTCCCTTTCACAGTTTTCTTTAAGCCTCAGAAGGGGTCATACCTTCTCCCTCAACAGTCGCTTCCTCTCGGCACTTTGGTGGTTATGTCTCTGCCATTGCCACTGGCCGCTACAAAAAGAAGTTTCTCTGACCAGATCTAACAGCAGCACTGAACTAAACTATAAGCATAGTTACCTGGAAGGCACTTGAATGGGAACATCATGTCCACTTAGAAAAAAAAAAGTGGTAAGTTTCCCCATGACCTCTTCTACCTCAGGATTTTGGCCAGGTGATACCAGACTTGAACTCCAGTGGGGACCAAGCCTCTCTAAGCAGAGTTACCTATCTCCCCCTACCCAGAAGTGACTTGTTACTATAGCGCCATTGAGCACTTGTGGCCTGGCCAGTCGGACCTATACAACACAAGGCCCACAATTATCTCCCAGTAGCCTACACGGCACTGTCTGGCTCTGTGAGAGCAAGCCCCTGGGGAAGAAGCTTCCAGCTCAATTCCAACTTAATCTCTCACTACCCTGAGATTAGAGTATGTGGCGCCTTCATAATAAGATCTTCTTGCCTAATTCTAGTGGACAATGAGAACTCTTGCAGATACCTGTGTTATTTTAGGGTCCTTAGGGACAGCCAGCCCACCATAGCCCTGGGATTTTCACATACCAATCTGTGGCTTCCGGAAGCACCATTATCCACCTATACATGGTACTTCCATTCGAACTCTTTTTTTGTTGTTGTTGTTTTAAAGTAGTAAATATGAGGTTTTCTTGTGACTTTTTCATACATGTCTAGTTTTGGTTTATCCTCCCACTGTAGGCAGAGACCGCTCGTTCATTTCCCAGCCGCCCAGACCTGAATAATAACACAGAAACTATATTAATTGTGGCACTGTTTGGTCAATAGCTTAGGCATAGTTCTAGCTAACTCTTACATCTTAAATTAACCCATTTCTATTAATCTGTGTAACACCTCAAGGCTGTGGCCTACCAGTAAAGGTTCCAGGGTGTCTGTCTCCTTTGGCAACTACATGGTGTCGGTCTGACTCCACCTACTTTCTCTCTCTATCTCTGTTCGGATTTCCCGCCTGGCTCTCTTTACTAAGCCACTGGCCGAAACAGCTCCTTTAATAACCAGTGGTAATAAAACATATTCATAGCATACAGAGGGGAGTCCCACATCATCCCACCATCGTTTTCTCTCTGTCATTCATTAGTTAGCACTTAGAAAATACTAGATTCTTTCTACGTTGTCTAACATATGCACCGGAGCTTCGTATGACAGTTTGACTGCGGTCATTCTCATTTGACAATCAGAAACCGAGGCTCAGGAGAAAATAAGCCATTTTGCCCAAAGCCATACAGCTGGTAAGTGGCAGAGACGGAGTCTGAAAGCAAGCAGCCTGACTCTGGAATCGATGGCACTGGGCACAGTTAATCAAGCACAGAACGTCGTATCTGAAACGAATGGCTCCATTAGGTAGATGCGGCCCTCGGCTTTTCAGGTGTACAATCTGAGGCCAGAGAAGTCGTTTATCCTACCAATACTTTACTACCCAAAAGAACTGATTTCTGGTTTCTGATTCTCGCTCAGGTTTATAGAGTTTGAAAGTACATTCTCTTCCTCCCCGAGCCCTCAGCCCCTCCACCCCTCCTGCTGCTGCTGTAGAGAACCATGTCCATGGCCCCACAGCAATAGCAGTAGCAACTAATATCACTAGCTGTGGGGCTCTGGGGACCCTAAACGTGAGACTGGGCTGGGTGATGGGTGAGCATGTTGGGTTCAGTGGGGTCACTTGCTAACCCGTGTCGTTTGCTTCAGAACCCTCCATGGCAATGACATTTCCAGTGTTCCTGAGGGCTCCTTCAATGACCTGGCGTCCCTCTCCCACCTGTAAGTAACCTCTTTCTTAGCTCAAAACAGAAAATGGTGATGGTGACAGCTAGTGTCATGTTGTCGTCACGTCATATATTTCCTTATATTAGGCAGATGTCCCGCCATGTGCACAGGGGAATGGCTCACGGAGTCCCAAGATCCCACAGATGCTCGAGTCACTTACGTACAGTGAGATACAGGAGCATGCCACACAGCCTCCTATATACTTGACATAGTCTCTGGACTCTTTAAAATGCCTACTGCAATGTAAACACTTTATAAATAATCACTGTACCATACTGATTATAGAATAAGGACTCAACTAAAGTCTGGGTTTATATGTGTTCGTTATAGATGAAACTTGTAGAAATTATCTTTGACCCATAATTGGTTAGACCTGCAAATAGGAAACCTGACATTCAGAAGGCCAACGGGAGCTTAGTTTGAGATACTGTAATCAGACTGTACACAATGTCTTGTTTCAGAAGCCTTCAATCAATTCTTGCAAACGATGTGGTGTTTGAACCCTTACCATACCCTAAACACATTCGATAAATTATCCTATGTATAATCTCCTCTTTGGGAGAGGTGGGTCGAGACAGGGTTTCTCTGGAGCTTTGGAGCCTGTCCTGGAAATTGCGCTGTAGACCAGGCTGGCCTCCAGCTCTCAGAGATTCGCCTGTCTCTGCCTCCTGAATGCTGGGGATCAAAGGTGTGCGCTACCACCGCCCAGCTGAATGTATTTCTTTTTTTTTTCAGTTTAATTTTTTTATTGTTTTTATTGAGCTGTATTTTTTTCTCTGCTCCCTTCCCATCCTCCCTCTCCCTTTCTGCCCTCTCCCATGATTCCCACGTTCCCAATGTACTCATCTTATCTTTTTCTACTTCCCATGTAGATTAGCACCGTGTATTTCCTAGAACATTAAGTCACTTTACCCCCCCCTTTTTTTACTTTATTTTTTTTTTACTTTATTGCCTTTTATGTGATGAACTTGAGACTTGGGAAAATTTACGAAATTCATTCTGAGGCGACCTAGCCAGCTAGTAACAGACCACAGTCCAGCTCCATGTTTGCCTGGACCCCAACGGGCGTATTCTCAAGGCTTCTGTTTCCATCCTTATTCTGCTGAAGGAACTCGAGGCGATCAATCACAGCTGGCTACCTGAGAGTTACCCATCAAGCCAGTGAGACTTCCGGGTAGAGTTCAGTTTCCTTGACCCCCAGGTCAGTCCGCCCCTAGCTAGCACGCTCAGGTAGTGCTGTCTTCTGGGTACCATCTCTGTTGGTCGATGCATAAGATTGTATTCCTCCTCTGTAAATATTTTAATTATTTTCCTGTTGTGCGCACAGGCTACAATAATGACATGTATGCATTCTATAGATCAAAAAAAGAAATGCTAAAGAATAGGATCTTTTTTTTAATTGAGTCATGGTGTTTTCTTCCCAATCTCTTTGGAGACGTTTGGGTTCAACGGTGACTCTCTCTTCCATATCTTCAATCTCACTAGATTGAAGCGGCTTTGTAAAGCTGGGTCTCAGAACCTTCTTTGAAGGGCACGTCTTCTAACAGACCCTGTACGTGAGAGCTACATGAGAAGGGGGCCAGAGGTCCAGAATGAGTGCCAGGATTGGAGTAGAGCAAAGGACAGAATTTTCCAGAGAAATGAGAACAAATCCATGAAGAGGGGTGTCATCTAGGCAGGGATGGAGCATCTACTGGATTGGAAATAGACTCCGGAAACTTTGATTTTGCTTGGTGGTCATGTCTTCTAGTCTGCACACCAGACTCCTCTAATTTATTTCAAAACCTTGAGTTTTGAGGGAGTCACAGACGGGGAGCCTGGGGGCCAGGCAGGGCCTAACTTCCTCTTCTGCCTTCTAGGGCCCTGGGCACCAACCCCCTCCACTGTGATTGCAGTCTGCGTTGGTTGTCAGAGTGGGTAAAGGCTGGATACAAGGAACCTGGCATTGCCAGATGCAGTAGCCCCGAGTCCATGGCGGACAGACTCCTGCTCACCACTCCCACCCACCGGTTCCAGTGCAAAGGTAGGGGCTGCCAGCCCACCACATCACTGCCCTCACAGGATCTGCTGTGTTTTCAACATCTGAGCACATGTGGATTGTAAAACCACAGCCTATCTCGGGCACATAACCTAGGTAACATAGGTATATTATTTCTCTGTTTCATAGTATATCCTTAGGTAAGTTTCAAAGACTCAAATAGGCGATCCTCAAATAGTTTGCAGAATTGCTTTCCCGTAAAGGTGATGAAAAAGTTGGGCTCTCATTAGCACCCTCTGTGTATCTAGAGAACCAGGTTCTTTTGTCTTACGTTATATACATCAGGGCCTCTCCTTTATTTTATCTGCCTTTAATTTTGAGCCATCCTGAGTTTAGTTTTGGAATTTATTTTCCATTTGCATTGAGCATGTGTCTGTTGATTTCGCTTCACTCATCTCCTAGCATGTTAATGTTCAGTTTTTATTTTCCCTTTCAAACTTTGTTGTACCCCATGTATGTAACAGCTGAAACCAGAGAAACATTCCATAGACTTAAAGGCAATTTTAACTTTCTGCTTTCTGCTTTTGAGACATCTGATCTGATACTAGAGGGACTCAGATAGCCCTGGGACAGTGTCACTCAATCTGGACAGGAGTCCCCTGAAGAACTTTAAAAACCAAGGGTAGAGGTTGTATCTGGATGGCACTGCCTGACATATGTAAGGTCGGGTTGGATCCCCACAGCTTGCAGAATAACATTGGTTCTGAGTCCCACAGTCTCGGCTTTGATTAAACTGGTGTGAGTTACAGCCTGGGCATGGGATGTAGGCTAGTTCTGACTTGTCCTTGTGTGTCCAGAGAAATCTCCATAGGCCGGGACCCCCCTTAGTCAGAGGCAAGCATGGGCAGATGGCTCTGCACATTCTCATGTAAGCCCAAGCTATAACTGTCGGTCTCAGAGCTCCCTGGGACCCTTGTGTTCAACTGCCTACAAATGATCACTCACCAGAGTGAATCTCAACCCATGTCCAGGTGGGTACCATGATGTCCTTAAACACATACACACACACACACACACACACACACACACACACACACACACACAGGAAATGGTTGCAGCTTCCATGGGTGAAAAAAGCAGTGTCCTTGTCCGCATCTTTTTGTGTAGCCTCATTACCCCTAAGGTCTTGCAGGAAGGACTCTCTGTGTGTGCCTTTGGCCTTGGCATCCCTCCTTGGCTATTCTATGGGAAAGGGCTTGACAGGGGGGAAAAAAAGAAGGGGAAGGTCAAAACAGAGCCTGTGCCCAGAACTTCCTGGAATAGAGGATACGCAGGAGGGTTCTAATTATGGTGCACTATTTGCAGATTAGCACCCAAATCGGATCAGGCTAATTACCGTAATTGATTTGACTGCAGAAGTGCTTCTGTATGCTGTCCCACTGTGATTCTTACTCACTGGACAGTGGCTGAATTAATGGGACGCTCGCCAGATTGGATGTACAGCCTCAAGAGAGCCAGCTGCCCTCTGGGCCTAGAGATGGGAGGGAGCCCGAGCTGAGGGGAAGAGGGGGTGAGTTAGCCTTCTCAGAGAACTGCCATCCACACTCTGGCTTTGCTACCCAGGGCCAGTGGACATTAACATCGTGGCCAAGTGCAACGCCTGCCTTTCCAGCCCGTGCAAGAACAACGGCACATGCAGTCAGGACCCCGTGGAACAGTACCGCTGCACCTGCCCCTACAGCTACAAGGTAAGGCGGGAGGCTCTGCCACCACTCCTGCCCAGGCTCTTCCTTTGTCCCGGCTGCAGGGGGAGACCCCATGCAGCTGGTGCTACTCAGAGTAGCCTGGGTAACTCTATGACACATGTGGCACACTCCCTAAGTGACATTAGCCAACAATGTCACTGTTCTGCATATGGGCTAAGGCTAAGGCCCCTCTCCGATGGACCCGTGGAATATTTACAAGGATGCTTTGAGATGAGAAGGAAATGCTACCTCTGCATTTTCTTCATGAGTCACAGGGAGACTGCAACCCAGAGAGGTAAAAGGGTCCTTTTGTAAAGGCATCCGTTAAACCCAGTATCCCGACTGCCATTCCAGGGACTGAGGGGATGAGGGACTCGAGGACTCAATGGCCTGGGGCTTCCAAGCCCACCTTCATAGTTGACAAGTCTAACAAAAGAATTGAGACTTCCTGATCTCCCTTCCATCCTACCAGAAATCCAGGCTGCTTCCAAGACAACCTTCTCCCCCATTCTTCTTACCCAGCACAACACAGAACAAGTTACACCGTCTCCCTACTAAATGTACGGAGTATGTGCCATGCCCTCTGCTTGGCATTTGGTTCACCCTTCCTCCCAGCAAACCTATGCAGAAAGCCTATTATACAGATATAAAAAAAACAGGCTTCAGTAGGCTTGGGATTAAAGTTCAAGGTTCTATGGTCCCAAAGCCAAAGTTCTTTCACCTGAAGAGGTTCCTGAGTAGCCACGCCCCTCTCAGTCCCTCACTGGGATCAGCAAACCTATGGCTCAGTGCTCTTCCATGGGACACTCCAGACCCCAACTTTCCAGGTACCATCTGAATGGACTGGGCAAACCACGAGCCCAGGGCAGCCCACAGCCCGTCGTGTGCATCCTCTGCACAGGCTGAGTGATGGGAACACAGTGTCCGCATCCTCGAGGAACTGTGTATGTACAGTAACAGGCTTGAAAGGCAGTTTCTGGGGAACTGGTGGCTTTCTCAATGCCACCCTGGCTGCTAGCAGACAGTGTCAGAGTGCCACCTATGGGTCTGGAACAAGAAAACCCAGGGGTTTGTTTTAAAGCTGTTCCTGAATCCTTAAATTTAACACAGAGTCCCCAGAACGGAGATCGAGAATAGCATCACTCAGGCATGGATCCACTGAGACCTCTGCATATGTGTTCAGTGTAGGGGGAGGGGTCTCAGGCTCTAGAATTACAGAGAAGCGTGTGAGGAGTGTACTTTGGCCGTGTGCTGGCTGTCTACCAATGACCAGTGACGTCACTTCAGTCGTCTCTGGACACTGGAACGCATCCCACGGGTTGTGAGGAACAGATACACAGTCATGTGTAGAGTACACCTAGGAAAGGGCCTGGGGTATGGGAAGTACTTGATAAGTTATCACATTGCCACCTTCCCTTTTGCGTACCAGCCACCCTCATACTGTCGTGGGAGATTGGCCATCAGTAGCCTATGGCCGCTGCTGCTTCCATTTGCGTTTCAGTCCACAACAAAGTGTTAAGGACTTTTCACACACGCTGCTGCATTGCCTTGGGAAACTGGAGCTTTCTAAGGATGCATAGCCATTGCCGTTAGTCTCCTGTAAGGCCAGGCCTTAATGAAGCCGTTGGAGCGCATTATCTCCCAAAGCACGCTTTATTTATCATCTTAGAGTTCTTATCCTCATTTGAGCAATGAGCCAAGATTTGTAAATACAAAGAACTCTCCCAGGCTCCACTACCTACAATGCCCGGATGCTAGTCTTCCCTAATAACTGGCTCTCCTCTTATCTCACCCTCCCACCTGAGAGGGGGAACTGTCACAGTCTCCAGCAAAGCTGTAACGGTTAAAAACACATCCCGTGTGTGCCTCGCCTACCTTGGTGCCAGGTTCAGAGAAATTCCACACAACCTAACAGTCTTGCCACTATTCCAGGATTTTGAGAAATAAAATACTGATTTTTTTTTCCCAACCACTTAGCTTCATGCACATAGGTTTGGTGCCTCAGAGTGGTACTTCCCCAGCCTTTGTGTGCCCAAGAATCTTATTAAAATTTAGATTCTGATTCACCAGAGCTGGGGTCAGGCCTGATATGGTGTATATTTAACAAGCTCCCCAGGGCTGCCCAATCCAGGGACCACACTTTGAGTAGCAAGGTCTCTGAGCAGTTCCCCAGCCCCCTCTTACCATAGATTAAAATGAGGGAGCTGTTCCTAGATTCTTAAAGAAAGCCAGTAGCCTAGATCCTGTCAGAGAGGGGAGACAAGGCGGACCAGAGGACAGAAGGAAGACAATTGAGGAGCATCCCGATTCCCATAGATCTGAGCAAGCTGCAATGGAAGAGAATTGAATTGGGCTAATTAGGCAGACGTTCGAAATGGTGATTATTTTCAAGGACACATAAGCGACAGAAATCTCCACCTCTAGCCCCAATTACTGTGTTTTCAAGCACCAGGAGATGCCTCCTAGATTTCTGTGCTCTGCCTAAAGGTCTAAAAGAGATCCTGCGTGCCTCACCATGCTTTAGAGGGGATTCTGCCTGGGCCAAGTGGTACTCATATACCTACCCACCCTCAGGGGGGCGGGGTCGGCCTGGACCAAGGAGTACTTGCAAGATCCCTGGAGTATCAGGTCAGATTTCGGACAGGGCTGGGAGGACCCTTTTTGAGGTCCTCTTATCCTGCCCTTCATACTTCTCTCTCCAATACCACTACCACCCATGCAAGCATCCCTAAACTTTTGCACATACTCAGCCCTGCCTCAGAGCTGAGGCATCGTCATCACTGCTGCTATTTACAGGGCTATGTCACTCACGAGGTCCCTTGCAGGTATTGTGATTCTGCAATGGCGGTTCATTCCCCAGGTAGTCCAGGTAGAAACTGAGCATCCCTTAAATCAGGGATCCTCACCCTTCCTAATGCCGTGGCCCTTTATGAACCCCAACCATAAAATTATTTTTGTTGCCACATCATAACTGTAATGTTGCTGTCATGTATCGTAATGCAAATCTCTGGTATTTCCAATGGGTGACCCACAGGTTGAGAGCCACCACCTACTATGAAATGCTTGAGACCAGAAGCATCTCAGATTTCAGGTGTTTCTGGATTTTATAATACTTAAATATGCATCTTGATTGGTACTGTGGATCCGTGTATGAGTCTCAGAGCACATGTAAAAAGCTAGACATTAACATGCTATAAGAGTCGTCTCAGAACTGGAGGTCAGGGACAGGCATAGTCAGAGGGCTTGCTGACCAGCCAGCCTAGACAAGCTGTCAAGACTCGGGTTCCAGTAAGAGACAGGCCATGGCGTTAGCTCAGTGGGGAAAGGTACTTTCCACACAAGCCTAGTGACTTGACTTGGATTTCCAGAGCCCATGTAAAGTGGAAGGAAAGAGCCAGCTACCAGCTCCACAAAGTTATCCACTGGCCTCACATGCACTGTAGCCCATACTGTGTGCATGCTTGCACACACGTGTGTGCATGGGCACTCATGTGTGCATGTGTAAACACACACACACACACACACACACACACACACACACACTAAGATATCTGGAAGATAGAACCAAGACTAAGAATGAAATTAGCCCGTTTCATATATACACATAACCTGTACTTGTAGGTATTTTTACTATACCTGCATTTTGACCATGACCCATCTCCTGAGGTCAAAGGTAGAATTTTCCACTTGGAGTAGAATTTCCCACCTCTGATGACCTGTCAGCACTCAGATGTTTGATGTTTTCATGTACTTTGAATTTCTAGATTAGGCGTACACCATTCCACCTCACTCCCATTTCACGGAACATAAAAACAAGATCAAAGAGAATTAATCATTTCCTTCGGCCATCTAGCAGCCTGCCTAGACTTGGCTCCAATCCACAGCACTCCAGAGCCCAGGTTTTCAGAGGAAGAGAATAAATGGTCCGGCATAGAGGGGCCTGGTGCTGAATTTGGACTCCGCTGTCTGGGTTCATCTGTTGGCCGCCTGTTTCGCTAACTGCTGTGTAGTCTCAGACCTATTGCTTTCTTTTCCAAGTCTGTCTTCCCTATCTGTAAAAGGGAATGTTCTGACAATTGTACCGATCTCATAGGCTTCTTGGGGACATTATATGCGATCATGGCTATAAAACACTTAGTGTGAGGCCAGGAATGGAAAATGTGCTCAATAACGTGAGTGAGAATTCCTATCACACTTTCTATTCCAGACGCTGGCTTTCAGATGGGGGCCCTGAGTCACGGTGGCTTAGGGGTAAAGCCAGATTGCTCCAGAAAGAGCACTTTTCTTCTCACTCCCCCTCTGAGAAACCTCTGTGTGCGGCAAGGGCTCACATAAAGAACCAGACAGACAAGGACAGTGCCTTCCAGCTACTGGAGAGGGGCCCGGGGCTCCAGTGTGCAGGAGAGTGGGAGGATGCATCTGGGCCCCCAGTGGAGGCTATCCTGGCCCAGTGCCTCAGCTCGGTTGGCAGTAACCACACAGCCAGGAAGCCCCAGTCCCATGCCATCACAGGCACTGGCAGCAACAGAAGATGGGACAGGCTCTTCTCAGGCAGATGGTGAGCAGGTGGTGATGGCAGTGGGAGAGCTCCCATGATCACCCTGGCCTGGCGTGCACCCAAGTCCCTGAACCCACGGCTCAGAAATATGCACAGTAGACACCTCCCCGGGTCTGGTGCTACGAGGTCCTGCAAAGGGCAACCTGGGGATCTCAAGAAAGTGCAAGATCCATGTCTGAAGTATAGGATCCTAGTCCCAAGAGAGAAGCGGGAACCATGGGGCCAAGAGGACCCCTGGGCTGTTAGGTCTGTGTCTCGGGATTACCTGCTCAGAGCCTTTGACCTCGTTTTTTGCTTTTATCTGGCATGATTATCCCCACCTGCCAGACACTGGCTCCTTCTCAAGTCATACCTATCCTGAAGAGGAACCTGGTCCAGAGAAACTCTGTCTCACGCCAAGGCATTGCAATTCTCAGCCTGGCCTGGCCTGGCCTTGGACTTGGGAGCAAATGGCAAGCACCTAAGCTCTGCTGCAGACCAGCCAATCAAGGAGGAACTGGGGCGGGATGTCACCTCACAGACCATGGGTCTCTAGGTTATACCTTAGGCCCCCTGCTCAGGTTACCGATTATATTTAAACCTCAGTGAAACAAACAGCAATACCACCTGTTGGCTTTTACAGAAGGCCGACTGTGTGCCAAGGATGCTACATCATGCACAGTGCTTCCCTCCGTGAAAGCTCCCATGTCATTCTCATAATCACCCCATCACAGGTTAAAGGGCTCAGGCCCACCGTCAGTCAGAAAGAGGTGGAGCTGAAAACTATACTCACCTGGATCCCCAACCTATACTCCTGCCCCACAGTTTAGGACAGAGAAGCCTGTGAGCTCTGGGTATTGGTCCTGCTGGAACCTGAACTCTGTGCTCTCAACACCCCTCCCCTTCTCATGAACAGCCACCAGAGGCAATGACTCCCTTTGTCTTGTACTGACCTTCTCACTTCCGTCTTGGTTTCATCCCAGAGGCTGCTGGGAAGTCCCTGGGGTCTCCTGGGTCATAGCGGCCATCAGAGGCCACACTCACCAGATACTTTTCCCCCCCATCTGTTCCTCAGGGCAAGGACTGCACCGTGCCCATCAACACTTGCATCCAGAACCCCTGTCAGCACGGAGGTACTTGCCACCTGAGTGAGAGCCACAAAGATGGGTTCAGGTAATACACAGCCCTGACCTTCTGTCTTCTCAGAGAGCTTCCGGGTCACACTCCTGTACGGGAATGTCAGCGGGGAAAGCGTTATCTCCTGCTCTACACAGGAAGAAACGGAGGCATCAAAGGATAAACTCTCCCCCAGAGATGCAGAGTATGGGTGCAGGGATTCGAATCTAAGTGCCAGCCTCCACTCTCTGAGTCTGGAGGTCTCCAAGGGAGGCTGCGGATGCTGCTATAATCAGAGAAAGGAACCCTGGCCAAGAAACTCACCCAGTGGTCCCTCCTCTTTCTGTGTCACAAATAACAAGGACTACTGCTGTCACCTTCTGTGTGCCGGGTGACAACTGCACTTCCACCATCTCTCCTAAACCTTCTCACACCTCGGTTGGGGGAGGGGGAGTTCGGTCTGCATTGAGCAGAAAGGAAACTGAGGCACAAAGGCTAATGGTCACGTGCCCTGATCTTCTAATCATGCTTCTAGTCCTTTCTTGCTAGACGGTAACTCCTAGGAACGTCGGGATGGGACGGTGCCTCTGGCCCATCTGTCCCCCACCAGCTCCCAGGTGCTGCAGTTTCCCCAGCAGTCACCCCAGCAGAAGCAGATCCCTGGGAAGGGGCTCCCCCAGCACAGCGGTTTGAGCAGCAGTCCCCTCACAATAAAGATGAGGCCCCCGATGCCAGGCAGGCTCTGGGCAGACCTCAAATTGCACATAATGAACTATCAAAAGCCCTCCAGCCGAGGCTGCTGTGTGGTCTGGGGAAGAAATCTCCAGAGAACCCAGTTGGCCTGTGCATTCGCCTGCCAAGTGAGTCCCACCCAATCATGACTCCTGAAAAGTGGGACTTGGGTACTCTTCCTGTTCCTGCCTGGAGTCAGCCAAACCACCCACTTCCTGTTCACCAAGAAAAGAAGAGATGAACATGGTGGCCCTAGTCAGGAAGTGTACATCCAGGGCTGAAAGTGGGTTCTGCCCCATTCGGGCCTGGGACAGGGTCCTGTGTTGGGGGCAGGTTCCCAGAGGGTGATTGTTCATCAAGGTCTCACTTTGCCCTAGGTCTTGGACAATTTTCATATAAATCGGAAACTTAACTATGAAAGACTATAATGTCCAGATCTACGGGACTTGGGGACTGGGGCCAAAGGTTTGGGCAGAGGCAGGTGTAGGGGGTGGCCTGTCTGTGTGCTCCCAGGAGGATCCACCTTCTGCTGCAGTATTGCACTGGGACAGGCAGACAGGCGGAGACACAGTAGGGAGGGGCTTATAAAGAATAGCTCCATAGCACCTCTTCAATTCTAGAATCAGTGCCTAGGACTTCCCAGCTGCCCAGGGAGGCTTAAAGCAATGGGAACAGGCTCTATAGTTGGAGGACTTGAGTGTGTACAGGACGCAGCTCTTCCTAAAACCAGTGGGAGCGGGCATCCTAGATTCTGCTTGACTGGAAAATCTTGGGCAGTTCTTGGCTTATAGCTGCCCCATTCCAGCTTCATTCCCCATGGTCACCGGGCACCAGGGCTATGCCTGTCTCCCTGTAGCTGTCCTCTCTCGAGGATTAGGGACTCCTTTGACTGTAACCCTCATAGCTGCATCAGCCCCATTTCCAGCAAAGGTCACATCTGAGGCCCGGAGGGTTAGTACTTCAGCCTACCACTTTTAGAGGACCACAGTCCTCTGAACACCTCCAGAGTGTCCGAAATCCAGAAGCATCGCCTGCCCTCTCCACTCAGGTGCTACTGTGCCTTACTACATTGCCCGCTCGCCAAATGAGGAGAGGCCAGGGCTGGCTGATGGTATAGCTCAGCTGCAGAGCACTTCTGCAAAAATCATAAAATAAACAAGCCAGTAGATAGATGGATGATAGATAGATAGATAGATAGATAGATAGATAGATAGACAGACAGACAGACAGACAAAAGGCCACAGGGCTAACAATACAGAAGAACCAAAAGGAAGATGAGACCTCAAAATCTGAACAAAGTCTCCCTGATAGCTAGCTAACTGCTCCTGGAGTTGCCCTGGCCAGGGCCTCTCAAATTATTTACACTCATGACCCCTTTTGGCCCTGAATATTTTTATTCAGCCCTAGCTATAAAAGTATATGAACAGTCAGGGCTAGACGAATGGCTTAGTGATTATGCTACTGGCTACTCTTGCAGAGGACCTAGGTTTGATCCCCAGCACTCTTACGGTAGCTCACAACAGTCTGCAACTCCAGTTCCAGTAGTCTGATGCCCTCTTCAGGTATCTATGGGTACTGCATGCACATGGTGCACAAACATATATACAAGTAAAACAGCCATACACATAAAATATTTTAATGTAAAGTATATGAAAAAGTTATATACTTTTATACTCAGGATATAAAAAATTATAAATTTATTTTTTAAACAATTCCTTGGTGTGTATATTATATATTATTAATAATTATATTATTAATTATCTATTAAAATATATTTACTATTTATTAAAGGCAAAGTCAAATTTATATACTAATAAGATTAAATGTTGGCTAAACATTTGAGATTGTAGGACATAGAGCACCTTCAATGTTCTTTTAAAATAGATAGATACTTTTATTTTAAAATCACCAATTCTTTGAATGGCACTTTGCATAAAGACATAGTACAAAATTGCAGAAGTATAGTTAGGACTATTTCAGAAATTGTTGGAAATTCTATACTCAACCCAAGCCAAAATCCATTTAACAACTTTTTATGACGCTCGGCAGCAACTCCAGTGGCATTTTTAAAGTATTATTCTTTCCTTGACAGTTTTGTACATGTGTACAATGTCTCTCGATCACAGCCAACCCAAATAACCCCCTCCCGCTCTGCCCAGATCTCTACTAATACCTCTGCCTTCCTACCTTCAAGTCCCGTTTGGCCCAATTAGTACCACCTGCCTGTGCATGGGTGTGGGGCCATCCACCAGGGGCCGGGCAGCCTACCAACAGCTATACAGAAAAAAATGACCCTGCTCCCCTTATCCATCAGTCGCCCATAGCTCCTCAGGTAGGAATGTATCCTCTCCCACCCGTGCCAGGATGATGGCCGGCCTGCTCTTGTGCAGATCGTGTGTGGGTGACCACAGAACTGCTGTGAGTTTGTGAGCACCACAGCCCTGTCATCCCGGAAGGACTGTTTCGCAGCAGCACTTCCTGCCTTCCTCCGGCTCTTATGTTCTTTCCACCGCCCTTCCTTGACGTTCCCTGATGAGCCTCAGGGACAGCTGATGTCAATGTCCCATTTGGGGCCAAATACTCAACTATCCCTTATCCTCGGCACTTTGACTGCCCAAGTTTGCAAATCGCTCTAATCTAGGGGTCTAGACGTCAGTATCTGGAGGCCTTTGAAGACATGTCCGCTTAGTGAAACAACAGCAGTAGGTTCCCATCTTGAGCCTGTGACCCCCTGAGCCATGGGCTTTGACATTCTAATCCAATCCAATCCAGAGATGCACCAAATTGATGAGGGGTGGTGGTAGGGAAATATTTTTAAAATCCTTGCTATTTCGGTTTTAAAATTGTATTGCTAGTCACATTTTCTGCACTCAGACTGCATGTGTGCGGTTAAAACACTGCGGTTCCTAGCACACAGGAGTCTCCAGTCTGAGCAGAGGTGTTTGCAGCACTGTGGTGTGACAGCATGTGTGGGGCAGAGTGCACAAAAGCGGATGCGCAGAAGCAAAGCTGCAGAGACGTCACGTGATGCGGCACCAGCCAGCGCTGCCACAAACACCTGGGATTCATTATGCGTGTGATTTTTAATTAAATTTTGGACCGCGTTCGTTCAGAAACCTTTCACTGTTGCCAGAATTTTCACAATCCCTACGTTCAGTTATAGGATCCCATATGGGGTCACAATCCGCCGTGTAAAAAGCTTCAGCTTGAAGAACCCCTTCAAGGAACCCGATAAGGACAGACTTTGACATGCCCGCACCCTCTCTCCAACATTAGCAACATCTACTCTGTTGACCAGCTGTCATGTCCTTTGTCCCTGCCAGGCGATCCCAAGACCCCAGAAAGTCCAAGAAATTGTTTCAGGGTGGGCGAGGGGAGGAACTAACAGTTATTGCTCGTTTAGCATCGTGGAGTCCCTGCCCCTGTGTGACTGTAAAGAACTGGCCCTTTTCACGATACCCTGGGTCTATAACAGAAAGGGAGAATAAGGATCATTTTGTTGCACTGTTATTCATTAGCTCAACCCTCAAACGTCCTTGGACTTTTGCAGAAAATGTGATACGATTTTCAGATTGTAAGGAAATGGATAAAGTAGAGAAATTTGTTTTCTCTTAGCTTAGTTTACTTTTTTTAATCTATATCCCAAATCAGAGCAGTCTCGGAATAGAGGCCTGGACTTCAGATCTAAAGCCTGAGCCACTTCCGGGGATGACCATAGCTCCTTGACCCGAACTTCGGCCCGGAAAGAGGGAACCTCACAGCAGCCCTTCATCAGACACTAGCTCCCTCCCACCCCTCCACACTTCCTAACCTGTGGCTTCTTTGCTGCTGCCCAGGCTTGATGTGTTCTCATTTAACCTCATATGCCCACTCCTATGAGCAGGGTTTGGCAGGGATGGAGCAGGGAGGAAATCTCAAACAGATGTTCTGCAGCAGAGGCGGATGAAAGAAGCGCACCTGCCGATTGGTGTCCTTTGAGATGCACTCACAAAGGGTCCTTGGTCTTGGCAAGAGAGGAGTCCTCCCACTCCAGCTCCTCAGAGGCTGGGGTGGTGGGACAGGGCAAACATAGCAGTAAGGGAGATGGTTCTGGTGGGTTTTGTCTATAGCTAAGTATACCGAGTGCCTTCTCTGTGACTGTCTGTGTGTTTCAATTGCACATAGAACATCATTAGGTCTTATCAATGCTCAAGGTCAGACATCTGGAAAGGGCCAGGCCAGAATGCATTCCCTGCAGACCTAGCTGCAGAGCTGTGACCTTGGCCAAGATGCCCAATCTACCCCTCGATATGGAAAGTTTGCTTTAGAATGAAACACTATGGGGAGTGTTTTTTCTCCGCTTGCTGTCCACTCCACAGAGAAGCCAAGGAAAGGAGAATTCAAATACAGCTGCAGGGACTTAAGCCGTTTCCAGGAAACCACTTCCAGCTGTGGAGAGGTGGAGGGGCTTTGCTGGTATAAAGCAAGGTAGGGGACCAGAACACTGCCTGGAAATAAGTCTAGATAGACAAAATGACCTTGTAGGTTCCTAGGTGTCTTCCTAGTCGGGTCTCCAAGCCCTCAGCGTCCATTGTGCTGTGTGAGACCTCCAGCCAGCAGAGAGACCTGATGATTGTGTTTTCTGTCCCCTGCCCTTCCTGCCTTCCTCTCTGACCCTGGAATCCCCTCCGCTCTACACACACCCCCCTGAAGCTGCTCCTGCCCGCTGGGCTTTGAGGGACAACGGTGTGAGATCAACCCGGATGACTGTGAGGACAACGACTGTGAAAACAATGCCACCTGTGTGGATGGGATCAACAACTACGCGTGCGTGTGCCCACCTAATTACACAGGTAACCATCGAGGGGGACGCGCTCATGCCGGTGTGTTTGTGGGGCAGGGTGGGGCTGAGGATGTCACTAAGAGAACACGGTTTTCTTAGTGATATCCTGGAAGGAGGAGGGAGACAGAGAGAGGTCCCCCCCCAGTACCCTCTCTGTTGTTTGTCCTGTTCCTGCTCCTCCCACTTTGGAACATACTGAGGCTCTCCCACCTGCCTGTGCAGCGCTTATGGCCACCCCTTCCTGCATGTTGGAGGCTGGGCAGAGAGGTGTGGTCACAGTTGGGGCTTTGTTTAGTTCTAGAAATCTGTTCCCCACGTGCTCTTCTTGGAGCTGGGAAGGCAAAACTGAGCAAAACCCAGTTCCTTCTCAGAAGAGGCTTAGGGTCAGGTCGAGAAACATGAGCTTGCGTGGGAGGAAAAGTCGGGGGCAGGAGGGTTGTGAGACCACAGCGGAGAACTTACCCGGCAGGCGGATACACAGAAGGCTCCATGGGAAGAGTTCCTCTGGAATGTCTTCCCACCCACCCACCACCAGAACCCAACACCTCTGTTTCCTACATCCACAAGCCCTCATGAGGATATTTAAATACTCCTTTTGCTTGGGAAGCAAAATGTCACCAACTGATGCAAGCGGCATATCCCAGACTACGCGCCCATGAATTCTTTGAAAAATGAACCCATAGAATTTAACTCCGAGGTTTTAGAAAACAGTAATAATTATAAAGTCTGAAAAACACTGCATGTAAGGATAGCCGTCTTCTTGGAGCTGTGACTCTAAGAGACACGGTGGTGTTGTGAACTTTCCTGCTTTAGGGGGTGCTGTGTGTGTCTCTTCCCAATGTACTTGGTCTCCAAGACTTCTTGCGCCACCCCGCAGCACCGTTACAGACCTAGACATGTTGTGTTCTAAGTAATGTCATTTGGAAATGCAAACCAAAGACAAAGGGGAAAATGTGATGGTACTATTGGGGGCTCCCTTGTACTCGTCCATGGAGCCCAGCTGTTCTCTGAAGCAGAGCAGGCAGGGAGTGGGGGTGTCCAGGTTGTCATGGCTGCAGAGGTAGGAGCACAGAAACTCCCTTTGCCCCTCCTGAGACTTAACTGTCAAACCCTCAGCTCAAGAGCCAGGGATTCCCAAGACTAAGGCCAGTGAAAAAGACCATCTTCTCTACTCGCTCTGAGCTTCCTGGTGCAGACAAGCACGTGCAGGGGAATGCCCATATGCCCTTCCTCTCACCCTCTGCTGAGAGCATGGTAATAACCAAGAATTGGTATTGGCAACCAGCAACCATTACTGGGGGCACTATATGCAGAACGCTGACATTAAGTCTATGGCATGACTCAGGGCTTCTGCCTACCTAAGATAAGAGAGAGCCCTGTGCTACATCAAATCTTTGCTATGCTCAGTGCCAGAATAGAATCATGATGCCAGCAGCTAAGGGATAAGTAGAGAGGCATAATTGACTCTGTAGCAGAGGTGGACTTTTAAAAAAATCCCAGCATGCCAGGCTGTGGTGGCACATGCCTTTAATCCCAGCACTTGGGAGGCTGAGGCAGGCTGGTGCAGGAGAATTGTCTGTATTCTGTCAATCATGTTTTAAATAAACGCTGATTGGCCAGGCAGGAAGTATAGGTGGGTCAACCAGACAGGAAGTAGAGGCGGGGCGATGAGAACAGGAGAAGGCTAGGAAGGAGCCCATTCCTTCATTCCTGCCCAGACTACAGAGAAGCAAGATGTAACCTGCCCCGCTGGGAAAGGTACTGAGCCACATGACTAACACAGACAAGAATTATGGGTTACCCTAAGATGTAAGAATTAGTTAATAAGAAGACTGAGCTAATGGGCCAATCAGTTTTATAACTTATGGAGATCTTTGTGTGATTTTCTTTGGGGCTTGCCAGCTTTGGGGTACTGGGCGGGACAGAAACCCCAACAAGCCGGCCCTTATGTTACAAATGGCGCCCAATGTGGGGCCCTTCATGTTACAGCAGGCAGATCTCTGAGTTCCAGGCTAGCCTGATCTATAAAGCAGGTTCCACAACAGTCTCCAAAGCTACACAGAGAAACCCTGTCTTGGGAAGAAAAAAAATTCCAGCAAGCAGATGGGCATGGAGGGAGGGAGCTGAGGTGAGCCCTCTGCCCAGGGCAGCCCTGCCTGATCTGCAAGTGACCAGGCTGCTGCATGTGTGTTGCAGCTTACTCCTGAGGGGGAGCTGTTTTAGGGTTGGCTACTGCTGTGAAGAGACATTATGATAAAGGAAACATTTAGCTGAGGTGGGGCCTTACAGTTCAGAGGTCCGGTCAATTATCATCATGGATCATCATGGCCTTTAGCTTGGTGGCGTGTTGACAGACATGGTACTGGCTACTTCTTGGTCAGAGGGCAACAGAAAGTGAACTGACTGTCACGCTAAGGGAAGCTTGAGGCAAAGAGACCTCAAAGCCCACCCTTACAGTGACACTTCTTCCAACAAGGCCACACCTCCGAATAGCACCACACCCTTTGGGAGCTATTTTCTTTCAGACCACCGCAGGAGCATTGTGGTTTCTCTGTTGTAAGAAGCATCCACATCCTACCCAGACATGTGTCTATGGCCCCGAGTCTCTGCAGGGCACTAGGACGAGGAGAAGGCCTCCCAAGAACACAGGGCCTCTTCCCGGGCAGATATGAGTGGTACAGTTTAGGTCTAACTCAGGGCAGGGTGGGGCTCAGCCTGTCCCCACCGCAGCAAGGGCTAGACTCTGAGGTGGTATCAAGCCATCACCCACCAGCCACCTTCATACTTCCTGTCCCTGTTAGTCTCCTATTTGCTCCTGACCCCAACCAACCCCCTGGCCTTCTGAAAAGAGCTTCCAGGGTTAGAAATTTTTCCATCTTAGATCACCTTCTCCTAGGCTTTTGGCTGATCTTTCAGAGGACTTGGGTTCAAATCCCAGCACCCACATGGGGGCTCACAACTGTCTCTAATACCAGTCCTGCGGGATCTGATGCCCTCTACTGGCCTCCACAGGTACCAGGCATGCACGTCGACACAGACATACATTCCAGGCAAAACACCTGAATAAAAACAAAAACACATAAAAATAAAAACAAAAATCCTGGCTTTAAACTCATGCACTATTCTATGATACAGTCCTTCCTCCTCCCCCTATAACTGCATTCCTAACACAGATCATTCAGGTGATGCGGGCTTATCAGATTTATCCACGCTCACCATCCCTGGGTACTTAGGACACGTTTGGCATTTTGCAAGCGCTGTAAACTTCAGAGGTAGTATATCCAGAGATCAGAACTACAATTCTCCTCCATTTCTTTCTCTGAAACATTCAGCTGGCTTTCTTGACTGTGGCGGCTATCACATGCCTGGTCCATTTTTTCCAGGAAGCTTCTCCTGGCCCCCTGAGCAAGGCTGTGGGTCCCCGTCTTTGTGTCCACGGTTCACTGTCATGGTGGTGTTCACACCTGTGGGTGGTCACTGCCTGCCTGTTTGCAGACTATTCCCACTAAACAGTCGGAGAGGATAAAACTAGTCAGTGCCGTGTTCCCAGCACCTGGTACCATGCCTTGCGTGTAGAAGATACTCAATAAATAGATGGCAAATAGAAAAAATATCAATATGAATAAGCATAGGCCTAGGTCAGGGTATGACCTGTGGCTTCAGCTGCAACGGCTCCAGAAATGTCAAGAAAATCAGCCAGACGGTGCTGAGTTTCCAGGAGAGACCCCAGGGACCTCCTCACTGTCACTCAGGTATCTGAGTGTGTCTTCCCATATGGTGTCTTTTATCTTTTCCTTTTTCTTTCTTTCTGAGTCAGGGAAACTGAATCAGGAGTCCAGTAGAGATGATATTATCAAGAGAAGAATGTAGGGCTCCTGGTATCTGTGACCTATGGCCTCGAGTGGGACAAGTGGGGACCTTGTGGCCTTGGTGACCCCCGGATTCCTTCCAGATGCCTAATTTCTCTTCCCCGTGATCTCTAGGGGAGCTGTGTGATGAGGTGATCGACTACTGTGTGCCTGAGCTGAACCTCTGTCAGCACGAAGCCAAGTGCATCTCCCTGGACAAAGGATTCAGGTAAGGCCGGCCTCATGTCCTGGCATGGAGCCCTGAGGAGTTTGGCTCCAACAGCCTGGGTTTGAGGTTCTGAGTCAGGTAGTGTCTGTCTTCCCCTGCACAGCCTGTCACCCCATCTTCCTCTCCCACTGTACTCATATGCATCTCTGTCTGACCCAGGCCTGGTCGTACTTCCACAAGTTACCTTTATCTTTTATAGTTTTTTCCTTTCTGTATTCTTCTAATGATAGAAACAGATAAAGAGATGGATACGTTCCCTCTTCCTCTCCCCTTCCCTTTTCCTTCTCCTCCCTTAGCGCCTCTCTCCTTCCCAGAGCTGAACAGGAGGGACCATCCACAGAAGGAACCATCTGAAAGGTGTCTGCTCACCTACCCAATGTGTAGCCCTTGTGGCGGGCCGCCTTCATGGTCCTGCTTCCCCCTGGCCACGGAAAGTTTGCTAAGTGTGTGGGAGGGAGGTGGGGGAACCAGGAGTTCTGATTAGGTTCAAGAGTTACTGTCGTTGGTGGAATATTCTCTATCTCCAGTGGCAGAGCCAACTAGGGGTGCCCATGAGGAACTTGTAGAGTTAGGAAGAGGCAGAGAAGCCCACCCAGTACTTGAACCTGAGTGTATCTTCCCATATGGTGTCTTGTTTTCTCCTCTCTCTCTCTCTCTCTCTCTCTCTCTCTCTCTCTCTCTCTCTCTCTGTGTGTGTGTGTGTGTGTGTGTGTGTGTGTGTGTGTGTGTGTTATACATGTGAGTGGGTGCTCTCACCACCATGACATGTGTTTACACCACAGGTTGCTGTGGAATATTAAAGGGGGATCACTTTCTAAGCCTGAAATTTGCAGTGCCGTGACTGACTTTAGTGGGGGATCTGGGGGGTCTAAACCTGGGTTCTCAGGCTAGCACAGCAAGCCTTTTACCCCCTGAGCCCACCTCCCCAGATCTCTATTATCCTTTTCTGTTGCAAAACCCTGGGCCTGTTGTTCATCTCCAGGGCAATTGGAAGAGGTGTGAGGCCTCTGTATGCCACCCTGAGCTAGTCCACCCGGCTGCTCATGCCCCTCTGACATATCTGACATATGCCACCCTGAGCTAGTCCACCAGGCTGCTCATGCCCCTCTGACATATGCCACCCTGAGCTAGTCCACCAGGCTGCTCATGCCCCTCTGACATATGCCACCCTGAGCTAGTCCACCCGGCTGCTCATGCCCTCTGACATATGCTAGGAAGGAGTTTCAGGAGCGGCGGGTCACCCGAGGGCAACCCCCAGGCTCCTCCCAACCCCAGGAGCCAACATCAACTGAGAGCCTCTGTTTCCTAAATACCAGGCTGTGTTCTGCAAGTGGACAGAACTGTGTGAAGTGCAACCTGGAGATAAGAAACATGCCAAATTCACATTTGGTTCCAAATCAGAGGCGCCCATACTGTCAGACGAAGGGCTGCGGGAGTGCCAGGAAGGGGAAGGAGTAGTGACTGGCCCTCAGTTACACCGAATGAGGAGAAGAATATCATCCAAGGTCAAGGAGACAGGCAGCAGACTTAGAGGGCATGGACTTTGAAAGAACACACCAGGCCATGGAAACTGGTCAGGGGTGGGTGTGGACACTGAGAGTTGGAGCTGCCATAGAGTTTTCATGAGCCTCTGATGTGTGTTCGGAAAACCTTACCGTCTGCTATAGCCAAGGGCCCTTGAGTCTGGGACAGTACAGGAAAAGAGACACTAGCCAAGCTTCCCTTGAGTCATCTTATTTCTATGTCCTGGCATGTCTCCTAGGAGACAGTGTCTCGGAAAGTCTGTATAAACCAACACGGTAGTGGTAGTTTTTATATTAAAATGCACTTAAACAATAATCCATTCTCCCAGTGAGGCATTTTATTATTGTGTCCCCTCCCCTCCCATCATCAAACGTTTGATATCCCACAGCAGCCTAGCAGGACATTACTGAGAGAGGGGGACGTGCTTGGGACAGCCTTCGCTTATCTTTAGAGACACTTTAATGAGATCTCAGTGTCAGGCAGATCTGCGCAGAGACCCTGAAAATAGCAAAGATCCCATTGACTCGTGTACACTGAAAACTCCATGCAGTACCTGGTCTTATGAACCCCTCGTGTTTTCAGTGGAGAAAAACCGGGGCCCCCACAGCCCAAAGCCAGTGACACAGACCCAGCTGCCTAGGAGCTAAGAGAGAAGGGGGTCTGCAGGTCAACCCAGGTCCGTCTGACTTCTCGGCTAGACCCAGATACTCCAGGTGTCCTTGGCCCCGCGGTCACTAGACTGAATTATCAGCAGGGAAGATACAGCAAAATGTTTGGAAACAAAAGGAGCTGAAGTGGCGCCACCTGCTGCTTCTGCAATCTGAGAAGTATTATGTAGTCCCTCCCTGCTGTGAGCAAGGTGCTCAAACCAGTACCTCGTAGAAATGTGTTCGGAATGTAGTGCTCCCTGTAGCTGCACTGTGGGTGTGTGTGTGTGTGTGTGTGTGTGTGTGTGTGTGTGTGGTGTGTGTGTGTGTGTGTGTGTGTGTGTATGTGTGTGTGTGATTGAAGATGGAGTTTCTCTGTGTAGCCCTGGCTATTCTAGAACTCGCTCAGTAGACCAGGCTGCCCTCAAACTCATAGATCCTCCCACCTCTACCCCCCCCCCCCCAGTGCTGGGCTTAAAGGTGTGCACCACCACTGCCCAGGGTTTTGTTTTTAATGGCAAAATCCTTAGGTGTTTCCTTTGCTCATTAATGTCTAAGAAGGCCGTGCCAACAGAAGTCTGTAGATACTCTCGCCTCTAGGCCTCCACCACTGACTTTAGAAGTGGAAGTAGCTTCTCTCCTCATTGGTTGCCTTGGACTTCATGTTTTAAAGGTTGATTTTTATCCTGTTAAATGTTGAGGAGCTGCTTTTTGAGCCTTGGGCCTGTTCGTTTCAGCTGCTCTCCGGGGCTCTTTTGGATCCAAGTAACAAAACTCAAATGCCTGCCAAGGCTGGGGTTTGGTTTGGGTTTTAATCTTTTTTAGCTAGTTTGCAAAATAATGGGCTTCATTTTGACATTCTCATGCACATGTCCATCCTTGTGCCTTGTTCATATTGTCCTTCCCACCCTTTTCCAGCCCTCCTCCAGGCCCAGCTTTACCAGCAGCTGAAGCACTGAAGCAGAATCTCAATGCATTTCTAGTTTGTTTCCTTAGAAAACTGGCTGAGCCGGTTTTGGTGGCAGATGTTTCTTTAAAATTTTTTAAAGATTTATTTTTACTTCATGTGTACAGATAAAATAGCAATCAGTGCCTGGGGCCTATGAAGGCCAGAAGGAAGCATCAGATACCCTGAAAGCAGAGGTGTAGACTGTTGAGAACTTCCATGTGGGTGCCAAGAACAGAACCTGGATGCTCTGCAAAAGCAATCAATGAACCATCCCTCTAAGTCTGCCCCCCTGACCTTTGTTTTTTTAAAATTTTTGTGTATGTGTGTATGCATGTGTGTGCAAATTCCTGCAGAGGCCAGAAGAGGGTGTCGGATCCTACTGGAACTATAGTTGCAGGTGTTGGTGAGCTGCCTGATGTGGGTTCTGGGAACTGAACTTGGGACCTATGTGAGAGCAGCAAGGGTTCTTAACTGGTGAACCATCTCTCCAGCCCTGATGGCAGATACTTTAACACCAGGACTTAGAGACCCGCATAGAAGTGTCCAGAGTTTGAGGTCAGCCTAGGGAGTTTGAGGCTAACCTGGCTTTGTCACAAGACATTATCTTTAAAAAAAAATTTTTTTTAAAAAAGCCTGAGGGAGGGAGAAAGGGGAGAGGGAGGGAGGGAGGGAAGGAGAGAGAGAGAGAGAGAGAGAGAGAGAGAGAGAGAGAGAAGAAAGGAGGGAAGAAGAAAGAGAAGGAAGGAAGGAAGAGAGAGAGAGAGAGAGAGAGAGAGAGAGAGAGAGAGAGAAAGAAAGAAAACACTTTGGCAGACCACGTCCTTAAAATATACTCTGATGTAGCAATAGGTTGCACATCTTGAATTTGCCAGCCAAGTCCATTAAAGGTGAACCGATCGGATACTAGTAAAATTCACCAGATCTGAACACACACAGGTCTACCCAGTCAGTCAGTCTTCAGATTCTGGAACTGTTTCTACAGGGCCACCATGTACCTTCAGAATCTTACCTAGCTCTAGTGTGATGCTGGGATTCTGCCCCACTCTATACCTAAGGGAAGGAGTACAGAGAGGCAGGGAGGAGAAGAAGCCTCTCTCTCTCTCTCTCTCTCTCTCTCTCTCTCTCTCTCTCTCTCTC